TGGAAAAAAAACGGTCAACAATGGGGATTTTGGGATGCTTTCCCCCCATTTGGCATTTTCTGGAAAATCATGGGACTGAGACACTTGGGGGAAGGAGCAGCTGCTGCTCCCCAAAACCCCCCTTGTCCCCTTGGATCCAGGCAGTTCAAGAAGCCTCGAGTTGCCAGGGAGTTGCTGGATTATCCTGCTGCAGGTCCCTCTGGCTTAGAATTAACGAGATTGTTTGGATTCGGGGATTAATTAGATTAATTAATGCGGCCTTTCTCCCCCAGGCTGGCGGCAAGGCGGGCAAGGACAGCGGCAAGGCCAAGGCCAAGGCCGTGTCACGCTCCCAGAGAGCAGGCCTGCAGGTATGGCACAGGGAATCGTTGGGAAGCGGGAATTCTGGGGGGCCCAAACCCTTTGGTTTGAGGTGAAAACTGAATATTTTGGGATTTGGGGGATTATGGAGCGACAAGGAGCCCTGGGCTTGCGGAAGGGAGAGGGGGTTTGCTCTCGGGTGAGACAGAGAGGGTGGGAGGATTAATTGGGAGAATTAATGATTGTAATTATTAAATATTAACTATAATTATTAATTATAAATAAGGCACAATTACATTAATGTTCTGTAAGGTTACAGCTTGTTATATTATTGCAATATGATAATATATTAGTATATCATAACAATACAGTGTGTTATAACATTAATATACGTATTATGTGGGTTAGTAATAAATAAATAAATTTGGTAATGGCAGTTAAATCTTCTGTTTGGGGAGGATCGTGTCGGGTTGCTCCTGGAAGCCACAGTCAGGCAGGATGGGGAGTTTCCTGGGCCCAAATAGAATGTGTGTTACATTATGTAATTAAATATATATAAATACAATAATCAATAGAAATACATTATATATATTAGACAGTAATGAATAATTAATTCCGGTAATGACAAATCCTCTGTTTGGGGAGGATCATGTCGAGTTGCTCCAGCCAGGCAGAGTGGGGTGTCTCTTGGGCCCAAATCATAGGGGGCTGTGGGTGTTAATGAGGTTGTTAATTGCCCCCCCCAGTTCCCTGTCGGCCGCATCCACAGGCACCTGAAGACTCGGACCACCAGCCACGGGCGCGTGGGGGCCACGGCGGCCGTGTACAGCGCGGCCATCCTGGAGTACCTGACCGCCGAGGTAGGACCCCCCTCCCCGGGGCCAGCACCTCTTCCCCCCAGCATTCCCACCTCTTCCTGCTGTCCCGCAGGTGCTGGAGCTGGCCGGAAACGCTTCCAAGGACCTCAAGGTGAAGCGGATCACGCCCCGGCACCTGCAGCTGGCGATCCGTGGTGACGAGGAGTTGGACTCCCTGATCAAAGCCACCATCGCCGGTGGAGGTGGGGCTCTTTCCCTCCTTTCCATCCTTCAGTGGGAATTACGTGGGAAAACAAACAGTAGGTTGGCAGTGGGGATAATTCCACTGGCTCCATGTTTCCCTGGATCCACACTGGGTAGAGGGGGATCCGCTCAACATTCACACTGTTATCCCAAAACTCTGCTGGGAATTGAGGAGTTCTTGCAGTTTCTTGGGAATTCTGCAATTCCTGACAGGAATTCTCCCCTTCTCTCCACAGGTGTCATCCCCCACATCCACAAGTCCCTGATTGGAAAGAAGGGGCAGCAGAAGACGGCGTAAGGGAGCGCGGTGCCGGATCCCCCGTCATCGTACCGACCTGGGCACAGCAACACCTTGGGGATGCCAGGAAACTTTTTTTAAGGAATAGTTGAAAGGAAGAACATAGAGGATTGACTGTAGAGGAAACATTGGGATGGGTTTAGATTCCGAGTGGGACACACCGTGGGCCTGTGGGGTGGCAGCCGGGGGGGTTTGAGGGGCTGGGCTGCCCTGCGTTTTATACAAAAATGGAACCCATAAACCATTTTTTACAAAAAACTGAGCTCTCTGATGTGGCGGAGGGAGGGGGGCCGGGGAGGAGGAATCGGGATGCCGCATGCAGATTAGCCCCCCCAATTAGCCCCCCCATATGCAAATACACAACGTTGTGAAGCCACGCCTCTCATAAATATTTGGTGTGGAGGTGGGGTGTGTCCCAAGGCTCCGCCCCAGAGTGCACATGGCTGGGGGTGCCTGTGTGTCCGTCTGTCCTGGGCATGGGGACTGTGTGTCTGTCCCTCTCAGCTATGGGGGTATCCGTTTATCCTGGCCACAGGAGTCTTTGTGTGTCCGTCTGCCCCAAGCCTGGGGGTGTCATGGGCCTGTCTGTCCTGAGCGTCTGTCTGTCCTGGTCCCAGGGATGCTGCATGTCTGTCTGTCCCGAGTGTCTGTCTGTCCTGGGCAGATGTGTCAGGTGTCCATCTGTCCTGGGCACAGGGCTCCTGGGTGTCTGTCTGTCCAGGGTGTCTTATCAGCTCTGGCTATGTGGGTGTCTGGTGTCCACCTGTCCTGGGCATTGGTGTCTGTCTGTCCCAGTGGCTGGGTGCTGGGCTCTGTCCTGGGTATCTGTCTGTCCTGGGCACGTGGATGGCCGCCCAGCCCCCCCCCCCGGCTCCCGGGAAGTCCCATGTGCAGCCGTCGTACGCGGGGGAGCCCCGGGCGGGGCTCAGAGGAGGCGGCGGCAGGAGCCGGGCCCGGGGCGGCTCCAGCACTGGCAACAGCGGGTGGGGGTTGCATCAGGCGTCGAGTAGCCCCAACGGCCCAGGGCGCCATCCGAGGCCATGCCCGCGCTCAGCGGCGCTCTGCCCCGCCGGGCCGCAGTGCCGGGGCATCCCCATGGACCGGTGCCGGGTGGGGGCACGGGGGGTCGGGACAAGGCCGAGCCAGTGCCCGCGGGGCAGAGGCCGCACAATGGCGGCGCCGCTCGGCGCAAGATGGCGGCGGGGGGCGGGGCCTCCCTGACACAGCGCGAGTACGCGTCCCCCGCCGCCGTATGGCGCATGCGCACACTGTAGCGCGCCTCTCGCCGCCGGACCGCACCATGCGACCCTCACGGGAGGGGACCGCGGGAGACGCCGGTGCACGCCCACGGCGCCGCGCCACGCGAGGCAGCGGAGACGTCTCGCACGCCCGTTTAACGCCGGTCAGCGCTCGGCCGGCGGCGGGGAGCGCAGGGCTGTCCCGGCGGCGGAGCGCACGTTCGGCGTTACATAACGCTGTCCCCCTGCCCACCCGCAGTGGTCCCGCCACCCCGCCCCCGCGGCCCTTACAGCTCTCATCATTGGCTGGACCAGGCAGCGGGGCGGGGCGAGGAGGCTACAAGTAGGGGCGATGCGGCGGGCGCCGCGCTCAGTCCGTCGCGGCCGCGCCCGGGTTTCGTTGTTGTCGCGCTTCCGCCGCCGCCAGTCGCCACCCTCCGCCGCCGCCATGAACGGACAGCTGAACGGTTTCCACGAGGTGTTCATCGAGGAGGGCACTTTCCTCTTCACCTCCGAGTCCGTGGGCGAGGGGCACCCAGGTGCGGGCCGGGCGGGGCGGGGCCGGGCGGCGAGCGCGCAGGCGCGGCCGGGCGTGGGGGGAGGAGGAGGATGAGGACGAAGATGAAGAAGGAAGGATGGGGATGAAGAGGGCGAGGATGAGGATGAAGGGGCCGGGGGTGTGTATGTGGGGGGGGCGATGACGCGCGCGGGCGCGCGCGCAGTGTGAGGCGGGCGCGCGCTCGCCGCATTGCGGGCCCGGCGCGCACGTGCTGCCCGCGTGGGGCGGGACACGGGGGGGACGGGGGGAACACGGGGGTGACGGTGGGGCGAGGATGGGGCCGGTGCCGCCGTGACTCAGCCGTGACTAAGCAGCTCCCGGTGCCCCCGCACCCTACGGCCCCCTCCCCCCCGCGTGGGTGCCGGGGCCGGGACAGGCCCGGTGACCCTCCCCCACACCGCCCCGGGGCTCGGTGCCGCCCTCAGCGCACCGCACGCTCCCCGGGGGTCCCCGATGACGTCCGGGCGGTGATGGAGCGTCGCGGGTCTCCCCAGAGGTGCCCCCTAGCCGAAGCCGGAGGGGGTCACACACTGCTCCCGCGGGGGCTCGGAGCTTTCTCAGCTCGGTGCCAGCCCGTGCCGGGCTCCCCCCGCCTTTGTCCTCGCCGATTTGGGGCACATGACTGTTAATCTGCGTAGGCAGCTGCCAGTGCCCAGCACCCGCTGCCCGGGCACCCCCCGCACCCCCCAGCTCCGGGCACTCCAGCACCTCCTGAGCCCCCCACCAGCTCTGGACGCTCCAGCACCCACTGCTCGAGCGCAGCACCCCCAGTACCCCATAACTCTAGTCCCTCTGGCTCCAGCACCCACAACCTGCGGCTGTTCTGGGGATGCTTCTGGGGCTCCCCCCACGCTGCCACGAAGGAGGAAGCTGCAAAGTCCGTTTCCTCACTCTTCAACCCCAAAAACCATCTGGGGAACCCCCCTCTGCTCACCTCAGCCAGGCGCTGCCTCATCCTCCCCCCCAGTCCTGCCTGGAAGGTCGCTCCCAAGGACATCCGCAGTCCCGGAGACGCGAGCAGCCCTTGGGACACCCCAGAGCGGGTGGGAGGTGTCCCCCATCCCAAATAAAGCCCCCTGGGAGCAGGAGGGAGCTGGGTGTCTGGTGGGATATGGCTGGAGCAGCTCTGGCATCGGGTGCATCCGGAGCTGCTGGAAACGTGATTTGGGAAGTCGGGATACGGGTTTGATCCCCTTGGCCCTGACTGGGACTGGAGCTTAACTGGGACATGCCTGGAATTCCAGGCTGGGAACAAGGCAAGGGCTCTCTGTGACCCGGGGGGCATACAGATTACGGATTACAGGGTTTGGATCTTGGATCCTGGTTGGGCTGTGCCGGAGGCTCCGGAAGGAAGGGCCAGGCAGGGCCAGGCCGGGATGTCCCACGCCACTGTGACGCCTCCCGCTCTCCCTGTCCCCAGATAAAATCTGTGACCAGATCAGTGACGCCGTCCTGGACGCCCACCTCAAGCAGGACCCCGATGCCAAGGTGGCCTGTGGTGAGTGGGGGCACCGGGGGACAGTGGGTGGGTGACACCAGTGGTGACACTGCTCTGACGTCACCTTGTCCCCACAGAGACAGTGGCCAAGACCGGGATGATCCTGCTGGCAGGGGAGATCACCTCCCGGGCCAATGTGGACTACCAGAAGGTGGTCCGGGACACCATCCGGCACATCGGCTATGACGACTCTTCCAAAGGTGCGTCCGGGGTGCCCCCGGCTGTGTGGCAGCACAGGGGTGGCACCAGGCTCACCAACAGCCTCCCCCCCCAGGCTTTGACTACAAGACGTGCAATGTGCTGGTGGCCCTGGAGCAGCAGTCCCCGGACATCGCCCAGGGCGTGCACCTGGACCGCAGCGAGGAGGACATCGGCGCCGGGGACCAGGTGAGACCAACGCGGGGCTGCCGCAGGGTCAGTGGGGCGGGGTGGGACCCTGCAGTGTGACTGTGGCCGGGGCGACCCCGCAGTGTGAGCAGGCTGGGATGTGACTCCCCCGGCCCTGTCGGCAGGGGCTGATGTTCGGGTACGCCACGGATGAGACGGAGGAGTGCATGCCCCTGACCATCGTGCTGGCACACAAGCTCAACGCCAAGCTGGCCGAGCTGCGCCGCAGCGGAGCCCTGTCCTGGCTGCGCCCCGACTCCAAGACACAGGTGAGGTGCTGGTGGGTCTCCAAACCCCCGGGGAGCCCCCTGCTCCCCCCAGGCAGCCCCTGACCCGTGTCCCCTGGCAGGTGACGGTGCAGTACATGCAGGACCGCGGGGCTGTGATCCCCATCCGGGTGCACACCATCGTGATCTCGGTGCAGCACGACGAGGACGTGTGTCTGGACGAGATGCGCGACGCCCTCAAGGAGAAGGTCATCAAGGCCGTGGTGCCCCCCAAGTACCTGGACGATGACACCATCTACCACCTGCAGCCCAGCGGACGCTTTGTCATCGGCGGGCCCCAGGTGCGGCCGAGGGCACCGTGGTGGCGGCACTGTGGTGACCACAGTGACACGGTGGTGGTGATGGCATGGCGGTGGCATGTTTGTGGTGGTGGCAGTGGTGGCACAGTGGTGGTCACAGCGTAGCACTCACGGTGTGGTGGTGGCAGTGACAGTGCAGTGACAGCTTGGTGGCGACGGTGGTGCCGCGCTGGTGGTGACACTGGTGACGGCGCTGCCGATGACGCTGGTGACAGTGCCGGCACACAGCTGTGACACTGCTGTCCCCCGCAGGGCGACGCGGGGCTGACGGGCCGTAAGATCATCGTGGACACGTACGGGGGCTGGGGGGCCCACGGCGGCGGCGCCTTCTCGGGCAAGGACTACACCAAGGTGGATCGCTCGGCCGCCTACGCCGCGCGCTGGGTGGCCAAGTCCCTGGTGAAGGCCGGGCTGTGCCGCAGGGTGCTGGTCCAGGTGGGTGCTGGGCAGGGGGGGCCATACGGGGGGGGCCAGTCCAAGCAGGGACTTGGCCTCACCTGCAGCCCCCCTGCAGGTCTCGTACGCCATCGGGGTCTCGCACCCCTTGTCCATCTCCATCTTCCACTACGGCACCTCCCAGAAGAGCGAGCGGGAGCTGCTGGAGATCGTCAAGAAGAACTTCGACCTGCGGCCTGGGGTCATCGTCAGGTAACGGGCGCGGGGGGGCCGCGCCGGGGGGGGGGGCCGGGGTGGGTGGGGGTCCCTCCCGGAGCAGCCCGGGGACCGCCTGGCGCCCTGGACCCCGCGCGGAGCTGCTCGGCCGCAGGAGGAGGCGCGTTCCGGGTAAGTATCCGCCGGAGCCGAGCGCTTGGAGCTTCCCCGGGGCCAGGAGCGTTTGGGGGGCTCAGGGGGAGCCCCCGGGAAGCTCCAACCGCCCCGCGGGGGTAGGGGGGACACAGAGGCGCCGCCGCAGACCCCCCGGCCAGGCAGGGAAGGGGCGAAGGCAGGACCCCGGGGCCGCCTCACTGAGTCGGGAATTGTGTATTCCAG